GAACTCCCTTTAAAAAAAAACCCTCCCCTCCCGGCCCTTGCACTCTTTGTGAATGAGGGCAGAGCACTCGGCCCTTCCCCCGCCCAGGAGCCACGCCAGACCGCCGCACTCGGAGGACTGTTTGTTAATAGTCCAATTAGATAATTGCCATCTTTCACTCCTTTTGCTCCGCATTTCCCATAAAGGAATGAATGGGGAGAGCGGCGTGGAGAGGGCTTCTGCCCCGGCAAGGTGACGAGGAGGGCCGGAGCATGCTCCTTGCACAAGGCCGCGCGCTTGAATTGAATCATTGTAGCCTAATCAATGCTCTTATTGGATTACTGGCTGTTGCTTTTCTCAAAGATATTGTAGCAGAGACAATGAAATAGCTAGGGGAAAACTTTTTTTTTTTTTGAAGCAGATCTCACAGTTGAGGTTCTCTCGGCTCTCTCTCTCCCTCCCCTCCTCCCGCTGGACTCTGAGTACAAAGCTGCCCTTTGAATGGGCTGCCTCCGGGCCGCTGGAGGTGCAGGCATGAAAAAACCCAACGGGGACTGAACGAGGAGAGGTGGCAGCGTAAGATGGCTGTCAGCGCCGAGGTGTGCGAGGAGGGACTTGTTGGGGATGAGAGCTGGGCTCTTTAGCGTGGGGGGGGAGATACTTTTTTGGGGGAAAACTTTCTCTTCGCTCCCCTTCTTCTCCCCGCTCCCCTCCGCCCCAGGCAACTGTTTTCTGGGCTGCAGGGTGTGTAAGGGGTTTTTGTGTTTTTGTTGGTTGTTGTTTTTTTTTTCTCTCCCCCCCCTCCTACCCTCATTCAGCTCTATTTGTCGAGTGTGGAGAAAACCCCTCTCGCCAGTATGTGAGCAGGAGGGTCAAAGGCAAAGGGAAAGTTAATAATGCCTGCTAATGGCACCAACCATTCAGGATGAACCTTGCCAAAAGTTTTTCTGGAAGTGTGGGTCTTTGATTGTGCGTTTCCTGAAAGCAAGACCAATCATTTCCGTTTATTCCGTGGCTAAACCCCTACTTGATTGGGGACAGGGACAGAAACCATCCATTACGATCTGATATATTATCCAAACAATTTAGTGTATTCATGAGGTAACCGAAACGTGGGGGCTGCGAAATTACCCGTAATCAATTGCAACAGCGAGCGCGCGTCCCCCCGGGTGTCGGACAACTACGACTCGCCGTCTCAGCAGCAGGCGGGAGCCTCAGCATTTCGGAGTTGGCGCTGCTCGCGACCTGATCTCCGGGCTGGGGACACTGGACGCGCTCCGAGGACGCGGGCGCTGACGAGGCGGCCTCGCCCCT